GCTTAACCAACTGAGCCACCCAGGCGCCCTGAAGGAAATAAAATTACCATCTCAAAGAGATCTCTGCATCTCCATGTTCATTGCAGCATTGTTTACAATAGCCAAGACATGGAAACAAAGTATCCATTAGTGGATGAATTAGTAAAGAAAATGTGGTTATATATATAATATAATATAATATAATATTATATTATTCAGCCATAAAATAGAATATTACTCAGCCATCAAAAAGAAGAAATCTTGCCATTTGTGACAACACAAACCTTGAGGGCATTTATGCTGAGTGAAATACGTCAGAGACAGAGAAAGACAAATATTGTATGCTTATAGGTGGAATCTTTTTTTTTTTAAAGATTTTATTTATTCATTTGAGATAGATAGAGAGCATGAGCAGGGGGAGAAGCAGAGGGAGAGGGAGAGGGAGAAGCAGGCTCCCCGCTGAGCCAGGAGCCCCATGCGGAGCTCGATCCTAGGACCCTGGGATCATGACCTGAGCCGAAGGCAGATGCTTAGGCAGATGCTTAACCACCTGAGCCACCCAGGCACCCATTATAGGTGAAATCTAAAAAAACAGAACTCCTAGAAACAGAGAACAGATTGGTGGTTGACAAAAAAAAGAATAGCAATTATAATAGCATTTATTGAGCACTAACTGTGTGCTAGACACTGGCCAGGGACTTGTGTATTACCTTATCTAATCCCTGCAGTATCCCTATGAGGCAGACACTGTGACTATTGCTGTTTTAGAAGAGAGGAGACTTTGGAAGGGTTGATGTGTCCAAGACCACGTGGCTAGTAAGTGGTGGAGCCAGTATGAGAGCCTAGGCATTGGCTATCAGAGCCCATGTTTTGAACCTTTGGGGATTCCCTGGTGCTGGGGGAATAGACTGGTGCCAGTGAAGCCACCGTGAGCAAGTTGCCCGGGTGCTCGCTGCAGGATGGGGAAGCAGGAAGGCAGTGACTGGTAAGGCCTGCCCCCCAGCTCACAGTCATCACTACTGCCCACAGCGTGCCAAGTTGGAGGCTGCCATTGCCGAGGCCGAAGAACGTGGGGAGCTGGCCCTGAAGGATGCACATGCCAAGCAGGAGGAGCTGGAGGCTGCCCTGCAGCGAGCCAAGCAGGACATGGCCCAGCAGCTGCGCGAGTACCAGGAGCTCATGAACGTCAAGTTGGCCCTGGACATCGAGATCGCCACCTACCGCAAGCTGCTGGAGGGCGAGGAGAGCTGGTGAGGACGCAGAAGCCAGGAAGGGGATCCTTCTGGGGCTTGGTGGGGCCTGGGGCTTGACATTCATCCATCTACAGACATTTTCTGTGGCCTCTCTTCTGCAAGGCACCAGGGATGGAAAGTGTAGGGAGGGTAAATGATGCTTGCTTCTTTGCTCTTGATGAGATGCCCTTCTAGTAGGAAAGACCATGCGGTGTAAAGCTCAATGGGAAAGTTGAAGATAATAATGGCCCCTTCATGTGTGGGCAGGGTCATCTTATTTGATCCTCACAATATATTCAGGTAAGCAGGTCAGGTATTGTTGCTTAGTTTACAGAGGGGAAACTGTGGTTCAGTTTTATGAATTGAGGGGCCAGTGTGCAGTCAAGCTCTGCTGATTCCTGGTCCAGGGATCTTTCATGATGCCAGGCTGCTTCTCCCACATCACTCAGTGGTAAGTCACATGATATTGACCGAATGTGGGGAGGTCCCACAGGTAATTTGCATACCTGCGGCCAGAGAGCAGGCTGGGCTGGGTTGGTGTTATAGGAATTCTTCATGAAAGACATGGAACCTATGTCCGTGAAGTTGGGCCTTCATTCTCACCTGGATGGGTTGGTTGATTCATTCAGTCAATTTGCCAGGCTTTAGACTTGTGCCCTGGGCGAAGGTTAGGGTTTGGAGAGGGTGAGAGGGAAAAGTGTGGGCCAAGGCTTGGTGGTAGGACTCATCAGGGCTTGGCTTGTTGGGACCCAGCTCGGAGACAGAGAATATGGAAGACGTGCTTCTGTCCTCGGGGAGCTCGCGCATGGTCTGAGGACACCAAACATTTGTAAAGGGAACACCTAGAGACCACTCACGTGCATTTGTAAAATGCTGAATGTCTACAGAACTTTTTCTTTGGGGAGCATTTTTCCTGAGGGTATGGGGAGACAGGCTGGAGGATGGCGTGGACAGGAAGGAATTGGGGAACGAGGGAGTGCTAGGGCAGAGTGCCTGGATGCAGGGAGGAGGGAGAGAAGACACATAGCCGCAGGATAGGAGTTGGGGAAGGAGAGGAAGATGGGTCTCTGCCACTGCAGTTGACCCATCCCTGCCTGGGTTGGCATCTGGTCTTTATGGGAAGAGGAATTGAATACCAAAGGCCCCTGGGAAGAGAGAGCATCTGATCTGGGGCACAGGGCGGCCCCAGAGCCCAACTGTCCCAGCCACGATGCCTCTCTGCACCCTCTGCCACCATGGGTGCGGGGGCCACGCTCTCTTGGGAACACATACCCTGGGCTTTTTTTCCTCATAGAACCAGAGCTGGGGATGCATAGAATGGGGCCGGATCCACTTCCTCCCATGGGCGGCTGAGCAGGGTGAAGCTCAGGGATGGCGAGTGGCATGCCCAAGGTCGCACAGAGAATGGAAACATTCTGTCTGAAAGCCTAATCTCAGTGTAGATTGTCATCATTGGGGCTTAGATCCCGGTTCTCTGAGAGGCAACTGTCCTCTCTCCACCTCTTAGGGGACATGGAGATGGACTCCTTGTTTTTGATCCCATAACCCCTCCACCTGTCCCAGGGGCAGGTCTAGGATTTGTGGTCTTAGAAGCTCATGCAATTTGGGGTTACAAAGTAGAGTTATGAATATAAAATTAGGCACAAAAACAAATATTTACTTAGGATGAGAAGAGAAAAATCACACTCCTCACCAGAGCTTTAGACGTTCAGGTCTCTTCCTCGGCACGGCACCAGAAATTGTTACATGGAATTGCTACCTGACTGCACCCTGGCTTCCCTCCCCACCCACAACTTCCAGTGACTCCCAGCACTCCCAGGGGCCCGTGGAACAAGGGGCCTGGAAGCTTCCTAGCATATCTATCTCTTGCCCTTGTCCTTCGCTCTGCCCTCTTCCTGAACTTGGGGCCGATGAGGCCAGCTGGGCTCCCCTCACTCGTTCTACCAAAGTGAGGTCTCCCCTCCCCACGGCAGAGTAAACTCAACCCCAAGGCCAAGGGCTTAGTGACAATGGAGCTGTGAGTCACAAAACAAATACGCCCAACTGTCTCCCATGGCTTTTCGATTCCGGTAGGGCTGCTTAAAGCCACCCCGACTACCTTCTGCTCCCTCCTCAGTCCCAGCCTTAGCTGCATTCACGAAAGCAACAATTCGTGAATTATTTCAGTACATACGGAATAATTGCTACATGCCAGACCTCATGCTAGGGGCCGGAGATCCAAGAATCAATAAGCTACAGCCCCCTTTGAGGGTTTTATGATTTGGTTAGGGGAGGCAGCTGTCTTCATAAATAATCACGGCTACCATTCATCAGATCCTGTGCACCCAGGGCTCTAGATAAATTATATTATTCAGCCCTCACAAACAACTCTGTGAGGCTAGGACTAAGTCAGGTGAGGAAATGGAGGCTTTGAGATGTTGCCCAAGGTCACATGGCCAGTAGGTAGGAGGGCCTACGTGAACTCCTCTCGCTCCCCCTTATTTTGCAACAAGGCTGAAGGAGGACTAAGGTGGGGGGATAGAGGAAGGAATGAATACCAGTCTTGCTGGCTCCTGGGTGGAGGGGGCCCTGGGACTGCTTCCTCCAGCTCTGAGGAAAGAGCTGCTCACAGGTCTCTCCTCTGCCCCCCAGGCTGGCTGGAGATGGAGTGGGAGCTGTGAACATCTGTAAGTCCTTGGCTGTGGCCCATCTCCTGTGCTGTCCAGACTAGGCTGGGTCTGCAGGATGGCACACTGGCTTGAGGACCTGGCCTTGTCTGGACCAGGAGCTTCTTTCCCTCACCAGCTTTTAGCAGGTGCCCCAGAGCTCCCAGCAAGTCAGGCTCAAGGGCCCAGGGGAGCCGTGCAAGAGGGCAGAGTGAGGCAGGACATATCTGTGCAGCCACCCCACAGCTGCCCCAGGCTCTTTTGGGGGGGGGGGTGGGGGGTGGGGGGGGGATGGGCTGGCCCCAGGAGGCTGGTGGGGAGGAGAGGCAGCGGGGAGGGAGAGGGGCAGGCAGGGCAGGAGAGTGGGGTGGAGTGAAGACTGGGGCCTCGGGTGATGGGCCTTGTGCTGATGGAACCCTCCTCCCTTTTCTCCTAGCTGTGGTGAACTCCACTGGTGGAGGTGGCAGCCGGGTGGCCTTTGGAGGAACCATGGGCAGCAATGCCCTGAGCTTCTCGAGCGGCGGGCCTGGGACCTTCAGGTCCTATTCCAGCAGGACCTCAGCTGCCACCCACAGGAGCATACGAAAATGAGCCCCGGTGTGCGGAGACCCCCCCACCCCCCTGCCTCGGCAGTCACAGGAGGACTCCCATCCTTGCTCCCGAGACTGCCTGGCAGTCTGAAAAATGTCAGAATAGCTTCCAATAAAGCAGCCTTTCTGAAGCCTGGTACCTGGTATCCTGGCTTCATCAGCTGGGTGGAGAGGGCTGGGGAAGGAAGGGGCCTTAGGATTGGGTATGTTCTGAATACTGAAGAGCCATCTGTGCAGGAGCTTGGGAAAGCACGTTGGTGACATGGTGCTGGTGGTGATTCAAGAGGCATGGCTCGTAGCCTGTGTGAGGCCTTGGCCTCCTCCCAGGGCTGGGGCTCTGCCGCGGAGGGGGCACTGAAGTCCTCTCCTGCTGAGGGAGTGGGAGGGCTGTTCGCACACTCCCCTACCCCCAGGTTCTGGGCTGCCAGAGTGCATTCCTTGCTGCGAGGACGCGTGGCTGCGAACGCCTTCTCTGTCAGCCTCCGAGGGGCAAAAACGGGACTGGAAGTCCACGTGGAGGCACAAATGGGAGATTTTCTGAGCACATTATATATGACCCATGAGCTTTATTGGAACCGTGGAGACCAAGCACTAAGCACAAGGGAGAGGGAGCCGAGCCAGCCACCGAAAGATGTCCCCGTGGAGCTGCAGCCTCAGTCATTGCGAGGGTTCGAGGGTTCGGGAGGCAGGGGAGGGCCGGCGGGATAGCAGCACGGCCACACCCCCCACGGCCGTGCTCAGCCGAGGCCCCGGGCCAGTCTGTCCCTTAGAAGCCACAGGTCTCGGGCGCCTGGGTGGCTCAGTCGTTAAGCGTCTGCCTTCGGCTCAGGTCATGATCCTGGGGTCCCGGGATCGAGTCCCACATCGGGCTCCCTGCTCGGCGGGAGGCCTGCTTCTCCCTCTCCC